CCTGCTGCTGGCCAGACTTCCTGTTTCTTTCAACATGCACAGCCTCCTCTCTCTGCCTTGTGCCTGTCCTCTTCTCTGAAACAAAGTCCATTTCTTCACTATTTTCTACACATTCTTTGAATCGCTCTGTCCAACCTCCTCTTTTTCATACTTCTACCCCAATCCTTTTACTTTCATCCACTTCCTTCTGACTAGATATTTTTCTGACTGCTCTGAATCTATTCTCCAAACGCTGCCATAATCGCACTTCGAAGGCTTGCAACACGACTTCTCTACCAAGTCTCTTCCTCCTGCCTGTGTCCTATGCATCATTCCTCTTAGCTACTCATTCCGCTCCTCCCAACTATTTCAGGGATAACAAACATCACAATACGGGGAGAGAGATGCATGACTCTTACCTTAAAAAAGGCCTTTACTCTTCATTACTACCAAGCTATGAGATACAGCACCTCATCTAAGGGGATGTTTCCTCATTTCAGACAAACAAAATGCACAGTATAATTCTTTCTAAGAGTGGTGGTCAGCTTCAGATGGCCAGGATTTTTGGGGTGGAGAAGTGGGAAAAGAGTAATACTTGGCATCACGTGTGCCCCATGTGGTCATAATACTTTTTGTTCTTGCTATAAAAAAGCTACTAGAGAGTTGTCAGTTTCTTAATCATCTAACAGTATGCACCAATCAAGCTATCTTTTGTGCACGTTTAGTCTGCCAAGTATATCAGCAACACTCCCTTACAAGCTAAAAAAAGAAAGGCTATTTAGGACAATAATTATTTTTATTTGGATAAAACATGTCAGCCAGCATCCTTGAAGTAGACAACTGGCAGTCTTCTCAGGGGAGGAACTCTAGTATTTAAATTCAGTGTTTTTTTTCTGTAAATTTCCATTACCATTCTTCCTCCCCACAACATCTTCTCTCTCAAAGTATATCCAATCTTAACTTCGACTTCTGTGTATTCCTGCAATACATTGTTCCCCCTCTTCCCCAACACACACCTTTATTTTCTATACTATTCCAAACAACGCTTTTCATCCTCCCTGCACTCAACTGCTCAAGTGTGAGGTTATCATTCTTTATGTCTTGCCTTAGTCTTTAGGATACGCTGTTTCAAATTCAATGCTGAAGAACTGATCAATTAAACTCTTCTTTTTAGAAGATGCTGCTGTAGCTCCAGAGTCTGTCTGTAAAACAAATTTTCTTATGATGTAACTTTAAATAGCATGTGAAGACAGTCGTTTTTACAGACAAAATAACCCTGTTTACTTAAATTCTATGAAACCTATTCCTTCACCTTTCGATAGGTGCATCTTCTCCTAGTCAGTCAATCTCCTTATACCACACAAGTTTCAAAACGAATGCATTTATAGCATGCTGTTAAAGCCACCTCAAAGCATATTAGCAAGCAAGTTTTCAACAAAAAGTCACACCTCCCAGCCCCCAAACTTAAATTTGTCTTAAATTTCAGCCTATCGGATTTTTGCCACTGCCAAGACTCTTCAGAAAACAGTTAACAGACAAAGATCTGGTGAAGTCTTGAGAAAAACTAAGTAATTTCTTATCAGGTTGATTAAGCTAGTTGCTTGTTTGAAATAGCATTCTTGCAACTAAGAATGCTGTAGCACACTTCTTTTTCAGAAAAAAAGTTCTTGTGTGCTAAATTCACAGGTTTTTAGGGCCAGCTGTTGCATACTCACAGTCACCACCACCCTGGTTCAACACATGCCGTACAAAGCCCAAAGGGAAAGTATTCCTATAGCACATTCCATATCATCACTGACATGACATAGGCAGCATTATGCTGATTAGACACATCAGAAAGCTATTTCACTTACTAGGTTATAAACACGTTACAGAACTCACAAAACAGATAATCCTTAGCAAAAAAAATGGAAAAATCACAAGTACAACATTATAAATACTAACTAACTCTGGTTAGAGTAAGACTGCAATTACCTCCATAACCGTATCACCTTCTATGCCTTCCAGCTTCTGCTGCAGTACCCTCATCATCTGCACCCAGCACTCATTGGCATCCTAGGAAGGGAACAGAACTTTAAATCTGACTAGCAGTGTTATGTTTTAGTAATATTACACCCATCAATCTTTACACTATAAAAACAAATATAAGGATTCCTTACACTTGATATTACATTCAACTTTTCTACATGATACAAAAGCAAATAATTTACTGGGATAAATTATTTTTCAGAGGAGAAGGGAAGTTTTAAAATATTCTTGTTCTCAACTTCCAACATACTACAGAATTTACAAACAATAAGCTAATAATCGCTCTTTACCTGTTGAAGGTACTGGCCTTGATCGCCTTTCTCTGCAAACTGCGGGAAGGCCATATGTAAAAACTGCAGGAGAATGATAGGTGGGATACTGGAGGAAGTTTTATCCATGGAATCAAACAAGTCTCTAAGAGCTTGAAGAAAAAGTGAATGCTTTGAGAAGTGGAAAAACAATTCAAACATGGCAGGAAGTTTAAAAAGAATAATAAAACAGAAGCAACATTTCAAGACTGATCATTTAACAGTATTCAATTTGATCTTTCCAATGCAGGAACAAATTTTCCAGGTGGCATAACATGTGCACCTAAGATCTCATTTGTGAACATGACTTTGCAAGCATAAAGATGACAATTCTGAGAGTTTGGCACATAGTGCCTTATCTTTCCTGGCTGCTAACAGGAAAAAAAAAATTTTGAGCAGTTAAGATTTCATTTGAAACACATCTGAGGAACAATGCTTTCACGAGAGGGCTACACCTAAAGAAAACAGAAGACATTCACAATCTATCTTCTAGAGCAGCTTACATTTCACCAACTACTGGGAAAAAAACCTTTATTTTTCCCAACTACAATACCTAGAAAATACTCATGCTCAATTTAAGACCCAGGAAACAAGTATGTGTATGCATAGGTGCAGACAGTTCATAACTATGTTCAATTCAATGAATGCTACTGATTGCATGACAATACACATGGCTTTCTTTTTTGCTCCAGACACATTACTATATGTCTTATCTACCCAGCTACAGCATTTTAAATCCACAAATCACTTCAGAGACACCTGTTAATCCTCACAACAACCCTGTGAGGTAGGCAACAGTCTGTATGGTCACTAATTTACACATGGAAAGACTAATGAATAAGTGAATACAGGCAACATTACAAGGAAGCAAGGTCAGTTGCTTCCTCTCTTTAAGTAGTATTTGTACTGACCTTGGTAAGAGGGACAACTGATATGATACAGCAATTAAAAAAAAAAAAAAATGCCATAAGTGTCATGCAGGAGTTCTTGACCAGCTCAGCACCAAAGAATTAACTACAAATTACTTAACTATTAAGATTCCTAAAAAGCAGAGCTGTCACCTTAAAAAGAAAACAAGGGACACAAAGTAAGGCAGTGAAAAGGGGAGGGGCAGACATGGTTGTATAGAGTAACCATTGAACTTACCACCCCAAAATTCGATCAGCAGGCATACCCACAAACTGGACCTTTCCTTCCTTATATTTTGTTTTTCCTTAAATGGACTGGTAGAAATCCCAGTGTCCTGGCCCAGCATCTTAGTGGGGCAATGGAATAGAGTGAAAAAAGAAAAAGTGGACAAGTAGTACCCTTGTTCAAGTGTAAGGGGTCTAACTAGAATTCTAGTTAGAACCTGGAGATAACGGGGCCATTGTGAGCTCCCACATTGTGAGCACCCAGACCACCAAAACAAAGAGTAACTTTCCTTTTGAAGACACTACTGTCTATTTCAGTTATGAAATCTGGATTTTTAGGGTAAAGGCTAAGACCATTGATGAAGTATCAGCTACCACCTTAACAATAATGCTCAGCCAGTAAATCATGTTAAAAAATATAAATGAAATACATATTCTAGGGGTATGGCATTAGCCTACCATTAAGGGAAACAAAGGACTGTACACTGTAATATTTCTACACAAAATGACCAAATCAACAGATGGATGGAGACTTGCTTTAGGAGGTTCCAGTATCTTTATGCCTACATGCAAACCAGTTAAGAGATACAAATGATTTCTACCTAAGTCTAGCTCGCAGCTGAATACAATTCTCCTAGCATGCAGCTAGGAAATACGCAGAGATGTATGCCTTGCAGCCACGGTCAGACCAACCTTTAAAGATATTAATGACGGAGCAAAATGAATCCTTCAGTGCTAGCAGATCTGAAATTCCTAAGGCATAGGCACTAAAGAAAAATATGCAGAGCTCTAACTGCAGTTTTCATCAGCAGTTAGGAAGAAATCACACACTAGTCTAAAACCCTGTGTTCTGCTGCAAACACCAACCTGCAGTAATGTACTGAGCAGAGGCCATTTCTCCTGAAGCTCTTAAGGCACCACCATACCTAAAAGAGAAGAAAAACAATTTGTATGCAATTAAATGCAATCAAGAAGAGCAGTCAGGTTTCTAAATCATAAACCAGGCAGCAGCTAGATTTATTTAAATGTATCAAAAGAAACCAATCACCAAACCAGAAGTAACTAAAGATTTATTCACACCCACCTTAAAGTCTCAGCTATTTAGCAAGCACTGCATGGAAGCAAAGGAAAACTGGCATCCTTGAGACAATAAATCAAGGCAGACTGAGAAGTCTGGATACATCATTGCTGCTTCCCTAATTCATCTGCCTCAAAGACTCAATCTATTTTTAAAGAAACTAAGGAAAAGTCTGAATAGAAGCTACCCTATTCCTGAAACATTTGCCACAGCTTCTTCAGATACATGGGGAAAAAAAAAATCACCTTCAAAGATAGATGGCAGATAAAATGCAGAGAGATGGAGGGCAGGCTTGCTTCCTCTCTCCACAGCAGACACAACACAGTGAGAGGTGAGACATTTTTCTTGGGGAGATATTTCCTACACTGAAACAGTATGAGAGTCCACCATATTACTAGAATTCACCACTCTTCTGTGAATGGTTTCTTAATTTACCAGCTGCATGAGGAACAGATGGCCTCCTCAAAGCATATAAGCCTTCAAGCAAAAGGAGAGTCTCATGCATTCTTTAATCTCAGACTGAACTTCAAGAATTCTGTCCATTGCTAGATGATGAGCAGGAAACTTTCCCCTCGACATGCTACAAAACAGGGAGTACCCTTGCAGAGATCAACGGAGCAGCTGGTGAGAAATGGAGCCGTAACAGTAACCTTTCTCACTAGAGTCCTTTCACCTCTCTCCCACTGCCATACACCATTCCACACTGTCATCAAGCAGGGAAGACCAAACAAAGGCTAAGTCTCCAGTGACAAGCAGAGCTGTTGCCTGTGAATCTGACTTCCCACAGACAATAAAGCCACATCTGGTATTGCAGTCTGCCAGTTTTGCAGAGTACATTTTGACATTTGGTATGTTAAATTTGTCAAATACTCTTGATTCAGTGCAGTAACTTAGAGTCCTTTACATGGAAATAAACAGACTTTCCTAAAATGACAACACTGAAAAGCAAGAAAAAGCTTTAAAACAGAGACTCTGTACTTCACAAATAGTTCTCAGTGCTAAATAATTAAGGTTCACCTGCTAACAGAACGAAGAAAAAAATCTGTAAGTACTTAAATAACTGTTTACAGTAATCTAGAATATCCAGTTGGGCACCAAGGTATCAAGAAAGCAGTGTATTTTAAAGGAATTAAGTTAAACCTAAGATGGCAATGCTCTACCTAATGCTTACATTTTTAAATACTGATGTTTTTCTCATTATAATTCATCTGGAGGACAAATTCAGCCTTGCATTGCCGTGTATTCTTTTTTCCACTGATCTTCACAATTTTCAAGTTTCTTGTAGATTCCTCACCATAAAAATTGGCCATTTTCATTTTTCAGTTAAGAATAACAAAAAAAAAATAAATCAGGTAAGCTATTCTACAACCAGAACGAATGAAAT